TCACCACACAAGTGTTCATCTCTGTTGTATATATGTTGTCACCACACAAATGTTTATCTCTGTTATACATATGTTGTCACCACACAAGTGTTTATCTCTGTTGTACATGAGTTGTCACCACACAAGTGTTTATCTCTTCATGACGATCTCACCGTAAGAGTTATGGGCGGTGACAGTGAAGGAATAATTTGAGCCACAGAGTAAGTCCTCCAGCAGGTGTTGTGTGCCTGTGACCAGAGTCGCTCCTTCTTCATCGTTCAGCCCAGCAACTCCTGAAAGCTCGTTGTGCTCCTCTTTAGTTACCCCCGTCAGCTCCGGACTTCCTTCGCTACTTCGCAGCAACCTGAGAAAAGTGCGTGTTTCTTTGCATATTCATTTTTATACTGTTTATATTTCGTGAGCTTGAAAATGATTATTGTCCTCCAGTTAATTTCAAGATTTCAGCGTCAAGTAACAAAATTTCCCTAATAAATAACCGCAATTTGCCTCAAATGACGATATCATCACATATACGGTACTGATAATAAAAGTCATATTCATCAAAGAAAAAACTCATAAGCTGGACTGAGGCAGCAAGACGCACACATGTCGCAGGGTGTAGCAGAGAGGAGGTACATCGTCGTGCCGAGGTGGTGATGTCCAGTGCAGCAACGCGCTGGTATTGGTCGTCCTGATCACCTGCAACCTCGGCGTAGATGGAACACCTTCAAAATTACCACGAATGCTTTATCAATAAATACCCCTTAATATTCATAACTTTATATTGAGATATCTTCTGAACATATAAACAATAAATACCCCATAATGCTCATAAATTTATATTGAGATATCTTCTCAACATATAAACAATAAATACCCCCAATGCTCATAACTTTATATTCAGATATCTTGTCAATGGTCCCAAGTGATTGTTATTTTTTATAAAGGCAAGAAAGTGGAACCACAATTTAGTAATGTCACGGAATAACCTGGCAATGCAAGAATTACCTAAAACTTTCAGCGTGTACGTAACGCTTTTGCCTGAAGCAGCAGAAGGCAAAGTGCAGTCGTAACTTCCACTGTGGCGTTGTCGTGCAGAAGAAATATACAAACTTCCGTTCGCCAAGATTGCCGTGCCTCTGCCAGCAATCAAGAGATGCATTGCTAAAATTGTCGGTGTTGATGTTAGTAATCGTTAGTAATCGTAGTTATATTTAGCTGTCAGGCGAGTTTGACATTATATTCAGCCCTGTGATTGGTAGTGGGATTAACGAGGGCTCGCATGTCTTGGGTATTCAAATTCTATGTAATTTGCTGTTTGATCGCATGAACAAACCCCGCCAGGTTTAACATAATTGGTAAGGGTGGAATAGGACTACATAGAACAACAATCTTTAAGTACATTAAAAGAGAAATAGCGTCAGGATCATGAGAAAAAAATTTTTTAATGCAGAACACAATTCATGATCCAGCAACATTTATGGTAAGTTTAATTAACGCGGAAGGCACTCACTGGTTGTCTTGCACTGGATCCCCGTTGCAAGTCCATACACGAATTGGGTTGAGTTGTTCGCCACGCACCAGGCAGGGCAACCGTACCGTCTCTCCTTCATCTACAGTCACACTCTGCCCCACAGACCATATCTCATATTAATAAAATTAATTTAGAAAATATTCATGAATATTTATAATTTTAATATAATTAGATTAATAATTAATACATTATTAATTAAATATTTATAGAAAAAATGAGTATTATCAACATTTTTAAAACTATGCTATGTTTCAATTGAGTAAAGAATTGGAGGAATTATGCAATTATCTATTATAAAAGCTGGAATTACGCTAAAATATTCTGTAATTAACTAACTCATATTATTATACCTTGGTCGCGAGGAGAGTACAGAACCTTGGGGCTGGGCAGGGTTTCTCCAGAGGACATCACCGCAGTTACCCACACCTGGGACAAATTTGTGTGTAAAATGTCAAAATATAATTGAATAGAAATTTAATAGTAAGTAAAGAATCTTATAAGCAGCGAAAAATTTATTGAAACCACACTGTAAAAACAGAGAATATAAATAATTGTTGAAATATCAGTGATGGCTTTGAAGATGAAGTGAAATTTGGTCTCGATGAACACCACGGAATATTACTTTGAACGCTGAAATTTAGCTTCCATGCTGGTAGAAGTTAGTATAAAGTTAAAATATAAATTTCAATCGCTAAACTTTCATGAAATAATAAAAAATAAACTTTCATGAAATAATAAAAATAATAAACATGCATACACACAGGTCGTATATATACAAAGATACCCAACCTTGATGGCAAAGTCTGGCAGATCCTCGAGTATGGCATAGTCTGCCGTAGTGTTGACTGATAGACCTGCCGGATATTCTTGTTCAGATGTTGCAGCAATCCATGACACGCGATGATGTGATGTCCTGCCTCTCATGGACCCTTCTGAACGCCACAGCACCCCTGCCTTGCCACGGCCCAGTGGTATCACAGATACCAGGGATGGTGGAGACGCGGCTGTGTACGAAAGAGTGCACAAAATTAAATGATTCGAGGTACCTATTTAAATTTTAATGTCATGCACCTAAATTGCCGGAACTGTTTTGTTGTAGTCTGCAAACTAGATATTGTTACACAAACTATATATACTAGCTTATATTTTAACGAACATTTTAACGACGTTGACTAAAAGGAAAGGATCTACGTTTGTAGGAGCTGGCGCAGTCTTGCACACTCAGTCACATGTGTAATGATATCAAGAGTATATTTTAGCTGTGTTTCGTAATTGAATTGCGTTGAAAAATCATGCAGACGGCGAATAGATTATTGCGTTGAAACATCATGCAGATAGTGAAAAAATGATTGCGATGAAACATCAAGCAGATGGTGAATAGATGATTGCGATTGCAGATTGTGAATAGATGACGGCGTAGAAACATCATGAAGATAGTATAAAGATGATTGTGTGTAATTATCACGCAGATAGTAAATTGCTATAAATCTTTTATGACTGCGAAAAAGTAAAATATTATTATGAGAACATAAAACTATAGATTCTACTGTGCAAGAATCGCTTTAGTAAATACTAGCTGACAAAATTTTATGTCGTAGTCAAGAGGTACTGCTTTCAGCATTTTTTGCTAGTTTCCGAACACAAATATGAAAATTTTAATTGCCTATGGAAATAACGTGTATTGAAGCCGTTTTACTATAAAATTTGTAGATCGGACAATCGTCGCAAATACAGCATTTCACACCTCATAAATATTCTCACGACTCTTGCCATTCATCCCTGAAACAATATAATCCATTTTCCAGAATGAATAGGCAATAGAACAGCTTTAAATAATTAATTATTCTGAGCTATCTTCAAAAATTTATTTTACTTATCTTCGGATTTAAACGAAGTTTTCGCGAATATTTTAATATGTATAAGGAAGTAGCTAACATTTCTGCGAACTTATTCGACCTTTGATTCTTCAATAGAATAGACTGAAGAAATAGGCCCATGGCCAGTATGTTCAAGACTGAACATATGCTCCTGCATGGCTTCGTCTAGTCTGTTTTTGAAGGCATTCATACTCGGAGCGTCAACGATGCTTCAACAATTTTCGTTGTTCTACAAAGTTAGATAGGAAATATTGAGTTCGATTGCTGGCCAAAATATTTCGCTGCCCAACTCACGCGGTGGGGCGGTGAAGCACAGCACAGGGACCCAACTCACGCGGTGGAGCGGTGAAGCACAGCACAGGGACCCAACTCACGCGGTGGATTTCATTGTGAGTCGAACGATATTTGTGAGTTGGTTGCTCAAAAAAGAAAGGGTTTCAAAGGAAATTATCATATTTAACGAAGTTCAGAAAAAAATATTTTTATTATCCATTGTCAAGTTAGATAAAGGATTAGCAACATTTATAATATTGAAATTTATTTAATCGTAAACATTGGGTCGATGGACACAACTCGAAAATCAACAACTGAAATTAATCAAGAAATAATTACAAAGACCAGACGCATCCGGTGCTTTGTAAGTTGAAAGCGGGAGACTCCCACCAGACTTCTTCGAGCACTCCGTTAAGAAGTAGACGACGCCCTGTTATAGATTGAAGCTGTAGCTTCAAGCGAGTGATAATTGATCGAACTATGTGTATTAGTTCTGATATCTTTCAAATCCATTTCAAATATTTCGCTTACCTAGGTGACCTAGAATGGTCTTTATTTCGTTATGCACAACATTTGAGTAGAAAATTTAAATTACGGGGTTCCTGTAGAAAATTGAAGGCATCTGCCTACCTTCACTTAGTTCTGGTAGCGCGGCGATGTATAAAATTAATACCTCAAACCATTTCTGACCAGACTTCCAATTTAATTATTCCGATTTAATGTCATGATTAAATAAAGCTTTGAATTTCTTTATATAATTTCGAGCACACGTAGCAGTTTAGCAGCTATGCCATCCTTATTTCTATTATAACGACTCTAAAGACAAAATTTCCCTGCCCTGTCCGCGGCCTAGCAAGCAGTTCCACTCTAACGTTCATACAGTCAGCACACAGGATTAATCAGCTCTTCATCTTCAGCCTTGGTTGACGTCAAGATGTCGGACGCGAACTTCTTGTGTTTTAGTCCCGTCTCTGTGAAGCAGTAGAGACCTGTGGAGCGATCGGGGTTCGGCGGTGGCTACCTTTCGGGCGGTGATGAGGTCACGGCAGACCATACTGGACTATTATCTCTGATGCATCCGGGACTTGGGCCCTACCTAGAGCGACTTCCCGTCAGCACGGCATGAAGTACTGGCGCCTACGGACCGTTGGACCATCTGGCTACGACACCGAACTGACTGGTTCTGCATTCACGGAGGTGAGCTGCGAAAACTGCGAGCTCTTCATGGTGCCTTTTCCCTCCAATATGGAGGGTAGAACCTCCACTTGTGCCTATATTTACTATGTGTAAATTGGAAGTCCTGTGTCTATTACGCATTTCTAATGCTCTAATACTTTAGTCATCTTAGCCCTTATCTCTCTCTTATCCTGTGAGCTATATATGCGAATAGTTAAGACTTCCTGTTAATCTATAATTTTTCGCGTTACAAATTGAAACGAATATTCCTGTTTCTTTTGCGCAGTGCAAACTCCTATTATCTAGTTGAAAGCGGGCGAGTGCGCTGAAGCTCGGGAGGCGCGTCCGATGGTGGCCACTGCCATCCTCGGCTCTCGACGCGTTACTTCTTGCGGCGATCAATTAATAAACAATTATTTAGTTGATATTGCCTTATTTATCCCCCACTTGGCCGTGTTTTCAATAGTACCTGTTCGTTAAAATTCTATGAAACACGGTGGCACACCCGCGCAATTAAAATTGCTATTTACTGCTTCCCTTTGGGTCGAGCATATCTCGAATACTAACTTGAGCATTAGCGGAGGTGCATTGCTAACGCTCTCTTGTAAACGCTATCCAGCTACTCAAATAATTATTGACGGGAATAAGTATGATTCTTGCCCTAAATTTACTCTCTTAACCTATGTTTAACCCTATCCCTGAGTATCATTGTGTTCAACTCACCTTGGCGATGTTGAACTTGCCACTTGACCGTTTAAATTCCTTAAACTTCACCGTTATCCAATCCATCGCACACATAAAAGCGCTAAATGCGCACTTATTTTTAATCGAATAAGGTGAGATCTCAGTCCGTCATGATATAGATTGTGGTAACTGATATGCTGGTACAACAGTTGCTATGTACATTTATATTCTTTACTATGAGTGCAGTTTTGTTTCTAGTATACACCTTGACGGCCGATTCTTAGACGCGCATCATTCTGTTATTTTTGCGTTCTGGAGGAGGCGCAACGAGTGAACTAAATTGGCGGCCTGATGTCTTCATTTTTCTGTCTACCTAGGAATACCTCGCAGCTGCAGCGTTGTAAATGAATAAAATTTATTTGATTTAACGTCCTTTAATCGTTTAAACCCTTCCTAACTTTGTCAACTGAGGATACTAATAGAGGCTTGCTTCATGCACAGGAAAAATCCCTACATAGTCTTGTACGTCGGGGCACCGCAGGACGATGCTGGTGCAAGATTTGAGCATTTCATGATGATTCTGGTGAGGGTGGCCTAAAAGTCAGGATTGCCACTATGGTGGGACAAAGATTACATTGACAATGAGCACATTGATGCAGTTGCCATCTTGCCACCCTGGGACCATGAGACAACACCATGCAGGCTTGTTCAGTCTGCCACACGCAGCAGTCTTCAATTCTAGGATAGTGTTGAAAACTTCTGTCATTTGCAGATGCATGTCCATCTCCTTACTGTCATGGGTTGTGATTTTATCCACTCCGGACTGTGATTAGTTGGTTTGTAAAGGATGAGACCCCCAAGAGACCGATTGCCTTTCGCCCCGTTTGTTGTGTTTCACCCGGTAACTTGGTTCTGTTGTACAACATACGTTCAGGTTGAAGATTTGTCTCATAAATAAGATTGGAAATGATTTTATTATATCTGGCATGCTATTGTGTTCACCTGTTTTCTTCCCATAAGTAGACCAAAACTCGAACCTATTGAACTCTCAGACCAAGACTAGAACCTATTAAACTCTCAGCGTTATTATATGTGTTTTTATTTATTACGTCATTATTGGGGCTCGCAGTCAACACTCGGCGTCACTTGCCGGCTCGCATAATATTAGGTTGGCAATAGAACAGAGGTATTTTTGTTGATTGTTGACCAGAGGAACGATATCATTTTCTAGACAACCAAATCAAATCAACTACCAAACATCGTGGTAGCTAAGCACCATCGTGGTTAACTTATCTAACTATTTCCTGCACAGTGACAGCCCCGCGGCTGCGATGCTAGAGTGGCTTCGTGTAGGCGTTCCAACGGCTGATCAGGACCCTGGTCCTCCAGTTGTGATGGTCGACATCAACAACGTCTCGTCGTTTTACCTTAATCGACGTGGGTGAAAAGTTACCAAGTAATATCTTATATGCCACATAAAAACACCGTGGACAAATACCAACGAATGGTAATATTGAAGCAATTTAAAATGAATGTTATGCAGTAATTTGCATTGTTTGAAACAATTTATATGTTTGTGAATAAGAGTAAGGTGATATTTTCTATTCCAAAATTACTATTAATTGATTATTATATCTAGCGCACATTTTCAGTAGCTACTATCGGCGTAGTGGAGTGAATGCACACTAATGAAGTGAATGCACACTATATACTAATGCACACTGGTATATAATACTGCTGTAATGAATCATAATCGGAACTCAACTCTAACGTGAACACAATAAAGAATTATAAAGGAACACAACTTAAGTAAAATACTTGTATAAGAGCATAATGCTGGGCAAGACAAAGTTGTACTCACTCTGATGTAAGTTTCGTACATCTCTACAAAGAATTTCTGGATGCCGTCTTCGTTCTTAACGAAGACGGCATACAATGCTTGATAATTGCATCTTAATAAATTTTCATGACAGATGTAGGTTCCTTGAAGAGTAAACGTTATTTATCCAGTGTCAATTTTAATTTTCTCTCGTCATTTGTAACTTTTGCAGACCTCGCACCCGGGAAACCGGCTTCGATCACCCTTGAAAAATCGCGACCGGGGCCGACGATAAAAGTGATCACTTCGAGTGCAGACCGCAGGACGGAAGTTGTTGCGTCCGGCCTTCAGCCTGCAAGGCGGTACTCGGTGTCGGTGCGCGCAGGCAACTCGCAAGGTGTCGGTCCTGCTGCTCCAGAAGTTTCTTTCACCACCGATGAAGATTGTGAGTGTAGACGAGTTACAATCTGTACATTCGTTAAAAGTTCCATTCTGTTGTGGTGGTTAATTTTTATTGGGTACAACGAACTGTTGTTGCTGTTAGTGTTGTGAGAACGGTCGCAATGCGTGATTTGTAACGTTGCAGATAGTGCAAATAACACATTACTTGATTCATATTTAATTTTTCAGAGGTGATGAAAAATTATTATCATTAAATTTGCGATCTACTTCATGGAAGGGGCTGTGTAAATATTTTATTATGTGAACTTGTAGGTCGTTAAGATTATTAAATTTATTTCGAGAGCCATGTTCTATTTTAGTTTATTATTACCAGAACAGGGTGGAAAAGCTCCTTTCTTTCTTGTAAGTTTATGAAATTATCAGTTGCAACATAGATTAGNGTGCTGTGCTTCACCGCTCCACCGCGTGAGTTGGGTCCCTGTGCTGTGCTTCACCGCTCCACCGCGTGAGTTGGGTCCCTGTGCTGTGCTTCACCGCTCCACCGCGTGAGTTGGGTCCCTGTGCTGTGCTTCACCGGTCCACCGCGTGAGTTGGGTCCCTGTGCTGTGCTTCACCGCCCCACCGCGTGAGTTGGGTCCCTGTGCTGTGCTTCCCCGCTCCACCGCGTGAGTTGGGCAGCGAAATATTTTGGCCAGTAATCGAACTCGATATTTCCTATCTAACTTTGTAAGTCAACGAAAATTGTATACATTAAAATATCAAGTCGAATAAGTTCGCAGAAATGTTAGCTACTTCCTTATACATATTAAAGTATTGGCGAAAGTTTCGATTAAATCCGAAGATAAGTAAAATAAATTTATGAAAATAGCTCAGAATAATTAGTTGTTTAAAGCTGTTTATTGCTTCATTCATTGTGGAACATGAATTATATTGTTTCAGGTTATGAATTTTACGAAAACACTTATGAGGTCAACGAAATATTTGACCAATATAATCGAACTCAATATTTCC